GAAGGAAGAACATGACTTGTTGCTGGAAGAAGTGGAATGTGTTCTGTAGTTTGGGCTGACTAGGGAATTCATATTTCTGCGCTGCGTAATATATATTCTGGGAATCAGCTCGCAGGAACATGCTAATAAATGAAGAGGTTTTGCAGTCTCGAAATGTGCGGCAGCCAAACTCTTTTGAGAAAAATTTTTCTACCTCGAAATTTTGTTCGAGCGAGACAGATTCTCCTCTGACAACTTAGTAACTTAAAGCGATCCATAGGAAGCCAGCGCAATACATGGATATAGCCGTTTATAGATAACCTGCAGCATCTGGACATAGGTATTCAGCATAGAGCCGTGCTCATGCGATACAACAATTTGAATCTTCTCACTAAAACGTTGACGCTTAAATAGTTAACAAAATTGGCGCTTAAAGGCTAGAACTGTCTGATCGCCAATGATGCGAAAATGAATTCCGTACTGCTTTATTTTTGCGCTTTAAATATTGTTTCGTTTGAACATGGTGCTTTCCTTATCTTGGTGTTTAATAAATTGACTGTGGTTTGATTGATTAACGCTATTTGTTTTGTTGTACGTTGATAAGGGAATGGCTTACCGAATTTCCAATTCTTCAAGCTATTTGTCCATCGCTGTAATTTCTCATCTTATTTTGTTGATGTTCTGTTGTACTGTAACTTGTGGTATTTTTAGGCCATTTTTCTGCAACTGCTTACCGCACTGGGGTCGCTGATAGGGTGTTCCCTGGCGTTGTGCACCGCTAATACGACGGAAGTTACTAACGTATGTTTTTACTCTGTTAGGAGCAATCGTCGAGTGACTAATAACACGTTGCGTTTCAGACTGCAGCTGGGTCATGGATCTTGCCGTTTACCGCTGGAGGCTTCATATACATAGCGACTGTTTCGATCATCCCTGAAATTCTACATGAATGCAGCGTGTGGCAGTCCGTTAAGCAGATTATTGCTTTATTTTTTGGCATTTGGATGATGGTCATCATTGCGGACATTGAATAGAAAAGTAAAGGTTTGCTGTTTTCCGCGGCTGTTGCTGGTTATTGGCTTTTCTACTTTTTAAGCTTATCTTAGTATTTCTGAAACCTGTTGCACTTTCAGTGCGCTGCCATTCCCTGTCACGGTGCTGCCCTCACTCGTTGTCATTTTTATGATTGGTTGCATCATATTTCATTTTCGCCATCCGTAAATATATTGCTTTGACTATTAAGATATTGCTTTATTGTGTTATGTGCAATTTTATTTGCTGATTAAACACTATGATTTTGGGTCTCGAGTGAGGGCAACACACAATTGTACGCTCATCACTTCTGCTGAATTTATTCTCCTCTGTGTCGCTGCTTTTGGTTCTCTCATCTTTGACCGTCATTTTAAGCCGTTTGCATTAGCAGCGCAGCAAGAAGTTGTTGTTCATCTTTTGACATAAAGGTTAAGCAAAACTGTTTTAGGTAAAATATTAATTAAACGTAAATCTGTTTCTGCTAGACGTTCGGGTAGAATGGACTGAACCAACGACTGCTTTGGATATCGAAAATTAAAGAGTTTCAACTTTGCAGAAAGCAAGTTTGAAATGTTTGAAAGTTCTGCAGTGACAGAGACAAATGTTTGAGAACGCCGAATTTCTGTGAGTTAAACTCGCGTAGATATTACTATTAGATAATGTTTGGGTTTGTTTAGTTAGTGCTGTCTGCTGCACTTTCAGTGGTTAAAAAGTTTTGCTAGAAAATACCGTTGCAGCATGGTACGATGGGTGTTCTTCTCCGATGACAGATATGTTTCGATTATTCATCCGTTCGGAACAGTGCTGACTTCATGATACAAGTCTAGCTCGTGTTGCACCCGCATGAGTATGGCTTATGTTCAACCGTTCAAAAAGGGTCAGACTGCTTTTCCCGTTCATTTCTATTGAGTATACCTTTATTCGGGAGACGATGAAGTCACTTCCTGTATGATCTTGCCCTTTATCCTTCAGAAGAGTTGGAAGCCAACCGCTTAACAGTAGCTGAATGGTCGTTTTCTGTGCTGCGTAAGAATAACTGTCTCCAGTCAGTACAACGACAGTGAACTGAGCGAGACAATGAACAGGTCAATTTTCGTGGAAAGGAATACCTCACAGTAATCTCGCTTACAAAGCAAGTTGTTTTTAACACCGAAAGCAATGCCCATCTACCTGTTCAATCGTATATTTCTGGCGCCGTTGCTCATGATGATACAACTGAGGTGCAGTGGTTTCTTTCGCACTGCGCTATCCGTCGTATCTCAGGACACTTATGCAAAAGTGATGCCAAATTCAGTACCGTTAGCAATCTTTCTTAACGGAAGTGGATACTGCTTTGAAAGAGACGGCCGACATCGAGTCAATTTTCCTGATTGGAAACCTAAGGGTACATGTCAGAACCGGCAGTTAAGTGATTGTTTCTATCGTACTTCATCTTCCATGGCCGTTTCTCTTTTCGGGTCGCGGATGCAGACGCCTCAGACAGACCTAACCTTCCCGATCCTCTGCCACAGTCTAAGCTTTGGCAGCAGACAACTGGAGTCTGGAGCAGAATCCTTCCATATATTTGCACCAGGTTACTCTTGGCCGTCCCCTGAGCCTTCTGCCGATCGCTTGGGCAACTGACAGTTGTTTAGCTTTCATTTCTTTCCATTC